CAGATTTTATTACTTCTATTACAAGTCATTCAAGACTAAACCTCATGGCCCTGACAGAGACATGGATCAAACCAGAGGACAATGCTACACCTACAGCACTCTCCAATAATTTCTCTTTTTCCCACTCCCCCCATCTGACTGGAAGAGGTGGAGGTACTGGTCTGCTTGTCTCTAATGATTGGAAATGTAATCCTTTACCATCTCTGAGTATCAACCGCTCCTTTGAATCACATTCAGCCACTATTACCCACCCTCTTAAAATCCATTGTACAGTTGTTTGTCGACCCCCAGGACCACTAGGTAACATCGTGGAAGAATTAGATGTGCTGCTCTCAAACTTTCCTGAGGATGGTACTCCACTAGTTATGCTTGGAGACTTCAACATCCACCTAGATAAACCTCAGGCTGCAGACTTACAAACTCTGATTGGTTCTTTTGATCTCAAGCGAGTATTAACTACGGCTACTCACAAATCAGGCAACCAACTGAACCTTATTTACACATGACACTGCTCCACTGATCATGTGCTGGTTACTCCACTGCACACCTTCACTTCCTCCTCACTCTTAACCTCAACATGGTTCCTGACACAACACATACCCCTACACATGTCACTTTTTTCGACATAACCTACGCTCTCTTTCACCCTCCCGGCTATCTGCTATGGTTTCATCTTTGCTTCCTTCCCCTGAACAGTTATCATCTCTTGATGTAAACAGTGCTACTGATACTTTCTGCTCCACTCTTAAGTCGTGTTTAGACACTGTCTGCCCCTTGTCTTCCAGGCCAGCTCATACCACCTCTTCTGCCCCTTGGCTGTCTGATGTTCTCCGCGAGCATCGTTCTAAGCTCAGAGCTGCAGAAAGAGTATGGCACAAACCAGCAAACATACACTCGTTTTCATCCTTCTACCCTTCTACCTTTCATTGCAAAAACACTTGAACAAGTTGTGTTCAACCAAGTCTTCGCCTTTTTCAAGTTTTCAATTCATGTTTATTTGTACAGCGCTTTTCACGATACAAATCATTGCAAAGCAACTTTACAGCAAATTAAGTTTCTACAATATTTAGTGGTAGCTTATCAGTGGTTACTGTCAGTTAATGTACATATGGCAGAAATGTATGGAAAAATCAATTTAAGACGTAATAAAACAGACGATGAACACTATTAACAGCAATTATTATATGATGC